GGGGGGGGGCGGGGCCTGATGGAGCCCCGCCCACGAGACTCCGCCCCTCAGGCCAGCCGCGCGCCAGTCCCGCCAGCCATCCCTGGCAGGAGGCCCTCAGCCTGGGCGTCCCCGTCTGCTCCCGTGGCGCCTGTGTCTGCCCGACATCGGGGTCAGAGCGAGAACCTCGGAGTCGGAGCTTCCCTCTGAGCGGGACACCGGGGCCCGGTCACTGTCAACACATCCCGTAGAGAAGAACCAGCATCCGGACAGTCCTTCAGGACGAAGCAGGCAGCTTGCACCTGAGCGCCCCATGGGGCAGACGTCGTGCCCTCTCCGGGGCATTGGAGACCCTCCCTTTCCAGGAGAGCCTCGCAGGGGGAACCTCACACCCAAGCCCACCTGCCGCACACGCGGACTCTTACAAGGCCAGGATTTGATGTCCAGACCCCCACACACCCCAAGGAGCCAGGACCAGATATCTGACCGAGGTCCCAGGGTCTTAGCTCCACGCCCCGCCAGAGGGACTGGAAGTGCCACACCCTGACAGAGAGCAGAGATCACAGCTGGGAATTGCGATCTTAGAGCCTGGAATGGCAGTGAGGGCCTGGGGAGTCCCTGCTCTGATAGGGATTCCCAGTGAGGGCCTGGGGGTCCCTGCTCTGATAGGAGTCCCCCATCCACTCAGCAAGGCCCTCATGTGCCCCCTTGGGGTTCCAGCCTGCGCTGCCAGCTGCCTGGCATAGGGTCTCTAGGTGCCCATAGACCCTTACAGACCGTTGCAGACCCCAAATGGGGAATAAAAATAGGTCAGAGGGGACCAGCAGGTGGTGAGGTGGTTAAGACGCTGGACACTCCCACACGACCCACCGCAGTTCAAGTCCTGGACCTAGTGGCTTGCTTTCTCACTTTCTGTGTGTGTGTGTGTGTGTGTGTGTGTGGTCAAATTAAAGTAAGTGATGAGTAAATATGAATAAATAAAATTGAATAAAATAATTAAAAAAAAATGGGTCAGAGGTCTTAGGAGAGCCAGGCAGGAAGGGCCTCTAAGGAGCATGGGCTGTCTTTGGCTGGACGGGTGGGGAGACTGAGGCACTCACTAACACACGGCTTCACGAGAGCACTCGGACTGCTACGGTAATCGGTAATCGGGTAATCGATCATCGCCGTAGTTAACAGCCAGGCAGGGCCGGGCTGGCCGCCGGCGATGAACGCGGCTGCATCCCACATGGCCGACTGAGCCGTTTGAATCTCCAACCCCGGGTGTGAAAATCATGCTGGGTGAACGTCCAGCATCTCAAGAAGAGGAGGGAGGAGCAGGGACTGTGGTGTAGCCGTCTCCCGGGGGGATGTCTCTGTCCTCTCTCTTTCAAGTGCGCCTCTGTAACAAACTAAAAAAAAAAATTAGAAAGTGGTGGGCCAGCAGGTGGCGGGTGGTTTAGGATACTGGATCCCACATGGCCTGCCCTGGTGGTTCAAATCCTGGCCCTGGTGGCTTGAAAACACCACCAGATGTATGTGGGTGTGCGTGTGCGTGTGTGTGCACCCCATATCCCGATGGGATGGAAAATGGAGAAGGATTGCAATACGACTAGGCTCCACTGCGGTTGCTTTCTCCCTTTCTCTGTCTCTGGTGAGTGCACGCTCCCTAGAGCAATTAACAAAAAGAAAGAAATGGGGCCAGCCTGCAGTCTGGCGGTTTAAGGCAACTGGATTCCACATCACTGACTACGTGGTTCGAATCCTGGGCCTGGTAGCTTGAAAAACAGCCAAGGGCATGTGTGTGCCAAAATCCCGAAAGGAAGGGTAAATGGAGGAGGAGGAACTGTGGCATGACCATCCCCAGAGTGGGCTTTCTCCCCCTCCCCCTCTCTGGCTAGTGCACATGCCCTCTGTCAAAGAAAGGAAGGAAGGGGACCAGCAGTTGGCGTAATGGCTATGTCGCTGGACTCCCACCTAGTCGACCGCAGTTTGAGTCCTGGACCCAGTGGCTTAAAACTCACGCCGGGCGTGTGTGCGTGCGTGCCCAATATCCCGAGAGGAGAATGGAGGAGAAGGGATTGTGGCGTGGCCATTCCCCCCGGGGGGTGATTTCTCGCTTTCTGTCTCTCTGTCTCTCTCTGTCTGTCTGGCGAGCGCACACGCCCTATAGCAAAAACCTCTCCAAAAATAAAAAATAAAAAAAGAAAGAAAGGAGGGAAAAGGGAGAGAAAGAACGAAGAAAGGAAGAAAAAGGAAAGGCCCAGGACCAGCAGATGGCATAATGGTTACGTTGCTGAATTCCCATGTAGTTGACTGCAGTTCAAGTCCCGGTCCCGGCAGCTGAAAACACATGGACATGTGCACGTGTGTGCCCAAGATCCCAAGAGGAGACTGGAGGAGGGGGGATTGCAGCGTGGCCATCCCCTGGGAGGTGATTTTTCACTTTCTCTCTGTCTCTCTCCAGTGAGCGCACACACCCTATAGCAAAAGTGTCTTTAAAAAAAGAAGAATGCGGCTGGCAGGTGGCATGGTGGTTGGGGTGCTGGACTCCTACGTGGTCAACCATGGTTCGAGTCCTGAACCTGGAGGCTTGCTTTCCTACTTTCCCTTCTCTCTCTCTGGTCAAATAAACAAATAATAATAATAATAATAAAAAAAAAGAAAAAGAAAAGAAGAAGAAAAGGCCTAGCCCGATGGGTCTCTGTCTTTCTGGCGAGTGCATGTGCCCTATAGCAAAAACCTCTCAAAAACAAAACCACGAGAATAATATGATCCTCGAGGAATCACTGTGAGCATTTTTAAAAAAAAGAATTATTTTATTTAAGCTTATTTAGTTATTTATTTTTTAGAGAGGTTTTTTCTTTTTTTTTTTTTAAGATTTACTTATTTATTTATTCATTCATTCCTTCATTTTTTAATTTGACCAGAGAGAAACACAGAGAGAGAGAGAGAGAGGAAAGTGAGAAAGCAAGCCACCAGGTCCAGGATTCGAACTGTGGTCGCCCATGTGGGAGTGTCCAGCACCTTAACCACCATGCCACCTGCTGGTCCCTGGAGAGGATTTTGCTATAGGGCATGTGTGCTTGCCAGAGAGACAGAGACAGAAAACGAGAAATCACCCCCCAGGGGGGATGGCCACGCTGCAATCCCTTCTCCTCCATTCTCCTCTCGGGATCTTAGGCACGCACGCACACACGCCTGGCGTGAGTTTAAGCCACTGGGTCCAGGCCTCAAACTGTAGTCTACATGGGAATCCAGTGACATAGACATTATGCCAACTTCTGGTCCTGGTCCCATTATTTTTTAATTTGACCAGAGAGATAGACAGAGAAAGAGAAAGCTAGAAAGCAAGCCACCAGGTTCAAGACTCGAAATGCAGTCAGCCATGTGGGAATCCAGCGCCTTTAGCCACCACGCCACCTGCTGACCCTCAATGGTATTTTTTAAAAGCTGCAAATTTAACTAACTTTCTTTCTTTTTTAAAAAGTATTTGCCATAGGTTGTGTGTACCTGCTAGAAAGAGACAGAGGAAGATGGAGCAAGGGCGAGTGAGAAACCACTCCCCGGAGGGATGGCCACACCACAGTCTCGTTCATCCCCCTCCTGGGATTTTGGGCACCCAGGTACCCACTGTGATTCCCAGGCTACCAGGTCTGGGACTCAACCACGGCCCACCATGTGAGAGTCCAGCACCCTAACTACCGTGCCACCCGCTGCTCTGCAGCTTTAATTTCGTTCTTTCTTTTTAAAAATGATTTATTTAATTCCATTTGTTTTTATTATTATTATTATTTTTTTTGGAGAGGTTTTTGCTATAGGGCGCGTGTGCTCACCAGAAAGACAGAGAGAGAGAGACATAGAGACAGAAAGTGAGAAATCACCCCCCTGGGGGGGATGGTCACGCCGCAATCCCTTCTCCTCCATTCTCCTCTCGGGATCTTGGGCACAGATGCACACGCGCCCGGCGTGAGTTTTAAGCCACTGGGTCTGGGACGCGAACCACGGTCGACTACATGGGAGTCCAGCGACATAGCCATTACGCTAACTGCTGGTTCCCTTATTATTATTTTTAAATTTGACCAGACAGAGACAGAGAAAGACAGAAAGGGAAAGCAAAAGAGCAAGCCACCAGGTCCGGGACTCGAACAGTGGTTGGCCATTTGGGAATTCAGCACCTTTAATTACCACACCACTTGCCAGCCCCTGCACCTTTAATTTCTAAGATGGTAAAGTTTGGTGGTTTTTTTTTTTTTTTTACTGCAGGGAGTGTGTGCTTGCTGGAGAGAGAGAGAGAGAGAGAGAGAGAGAGAGAGACCACTCCCCCTCCCCAGGGGTTTGGTAATGCCACAGTCCCTTCTCCATTCTCCTTTCGGGATTGTGGCCATGTACACACACACACACACACACACACACACGCACATATATGTGTGTGTGTGTATATATATGTATATATATATATAAATATGTGTGTGTATATATATAAAAGTAAGCTCCCAGGTCCAGGACACGAACCGTGGTCAGTGACGTGGGAATCCAGCACCTCAGCTACCACGCCACCTGCCTGCCCTTCCTTCCAGCGTGTTTTTAAGCCCCTGAGTCCAGGGCTCATAGTCGGCCATGTGGGATCTCGTGCCTTAAACACCACACTACCCACTGGCCCAAAGTTTGGTATCTTTTTAAAAAAATGATTATCTTTGGGACCAGCAGTTGGCGTAATGGCTGTTGCTGGACTCCCACATAATTGACCGCAGTTCGAGTCCCGGACCCGGTGGCTTTAACTGACACCAGGCATGTGTGCATGCATGCCCAGGATCCCGAGAGGAGAATGGAGGAGGGTGTTTGCAGTGTTGCCATCCCCCCCTGGGGGGTGATTTCTTCCTTTCTCTCTCTCTCTGTCTTTCTGGCGAGCACTTGCATCCTATAGCAAAGAAAACTTTCAAAAAAATTATTCTCTTTA